CTTTCTTTTCCTGTCTAACTGTTGTAGATACTATGTACAACAGTTAGACAGAAAAAGAAGTTGAGCATCATGTAATAGTTAGTTTATTGATTATTCGTGTAATCCACAATAAGGCTATAGGGAAAAACGAAAATATGAATTTATTATAAGCTTCAGTTCAGATTCAATAGATGACTGCATAACTTCGACACTACCATTCATCAGCAGAGAGAAAAGATGGTGCAATATTAATCTATTATAATATTGGGTTATGATAAGAATTAATTTCGCTAAAAAAGCTCTGATATGATCTCGAAAAGTTCAGAATTCATGAGAAAAATAGGGAAAATTATCAAAAACAGGAAAATCAGACGAGAGTGTCAAAATCAGACTATTAGAAGGAAATCAGAAAGGCGTCCAAATTTCAGACACTGTCCTTATTTTTCAGACAATCTGGCAACCCTGATCACAATCCACAGACAATGTTGGTTGATCACCTGGTTCGATATTTTTGATTTTATCTTGGGGGTATGCGGTTCATATGTTGCTTTGATAAAATGAATTGTAGTTGTGGGTTTAGACTCGCTTACAAGACTAATTGGATACAATTGTTGAAGCAAATTTTGAAGTCGTTGCAGTTGATCAGTCCATTTTTTCAGATCAATTTCTGTTACATTATTTGTCTGGCGATTGGATTCAATGTTTGTGATAATTCTATCTACGGCTTAGTGAAGCTGTCTTGCATTCGTTCAGCCATTTGTCGATCTTGTTTACGGTGGTCTTTCCGAGATTGTTTATCCTCTAATCGCTGTTGAATGCTTGCATTGTAATCGGCCTCTCGCTGTTCCTTAGCTTGTTGAAAATCTTGAAGTCGTTGTTATTTAGCGATTTCAATGTCGGTTAATAGATTATCATTGCCGATATTTTGTTGATAAATAGCAATCACTATTGTCAATACACTCAACAATAATGGAATAAAAAATGAAGAAAAGATTTGCAACACTCTGTCAAGTGTTATTCCACATGGACGACGACGAGACGTCATCATTACACCAGTATCAACTCGATCAGACATTCACTAAATTATATATATACATACAATTATCAGCAATCGAACAAACATTTTCTGACCTTTTTTTTGAATGAATTAATTGATGTTTTCAGATAATCGATGAAGAATATGATTTACCTTTCTGAATTTCAATACTCTTGAACTGAAAGTCAATTCTTAAAAAAGAAGAAAAAAAGAAGCAACGATCAATCTTTAAATTTTATTTCATTTATCAAATGACAAGAATAAATACTATTCATCATCAACATTTATAATAAAATATTTGATAATAAATCTCAACTAATAGATCAAATTTTAATATTTATTTTTAACTTTTATTAATTCAATGGTTTTTTATCAGAAAATATTTTTCTTAGTTTTAGAATTTGAATAGTCTCAATTGAATTTTTTTGAAAAACAACATTTAGAAAAAAAGAAGTTTGTCCATTACTATAATGGATGATTACCAACCATAATTCAAACGAATTTTACAGGTTGATTTAACAGTTTTTTATTGATATATTCATGGATTAGTCACGCGTATAAAATTTTGTTTTATTAATTATGAAGGGTGTTCGAAATGACAAAGAGTTTCTAATAAAAAAAAAGTTTTATCAATAAATAAGGATAGTCATGTTTTTTCTCCTCCGTACTCACACTTTTGTTCTGACTTGACTATTGTGAAATTTCTCATTTTTTTTTAACATGACTACTCATTTATTATTCACTAGTTAAAGAATATTTTACAAAAGATCAGTGAATTGTTTTGTTTTATTTCATGGAAAAATCCAAGTAAAATATAAATTAATTGAATATAAAATAGAAAATTTAATGTCTAAATATATTTCAGTAAATCTATGGCCGATCAAATTCCTCCTCGTCGCCGACGGTGGAACATAACATTCGACAAAGCTTTGCAAATCTTTTCTTCATTTTTAATTCCATTATTGTTGAGCGTATTTACAATAGTCATTACTGTTTATCAACAAAAGGTCGCTAATGATAATCGATCTGTGGACATGGAGATTGCGCGAAATGAACGACGTCAAGATCTTAACGCAACTGACCAACAGCGAGAGACTGATCGAATAATAAGAGAGGAACAGCGACGAGATGATCAACAAGCTTCTGGTATGCAGCGAGAACTAGATCGAAATCTAACTACTCTAAGACGGTGTGGGTGCGAGTGTGAGTGTGGATGGGTGTGGGTGTGTGGGTGTGGGTGTACAAGGCAAAAGGGTCACACCCACACCCACCCATACCCGCACCCATACCCACACCCACACCCTTTTAGTGATTTGTTTCTCTCTTAGATACGACGTCAAAATAGCAAAAACGTCATTCGTTATGGACTTTTTCAATTCTAAATTTAGATTATAGAGAAATATCACATATACAGTTTTGTAGAGCAAATGAACCTCTATCGATTGGTAGATAACTCAATTTGAGTAGTGAAAAATTTCATAAAACGTACAGATCAATTTTTTATTCTTTTTTTGTGCTATTTTTCAGAATGTCTCTAATCGAATAGCCCTAATGAACCAAAGGTAAATCTTTAGACTGTAATATTTTGGATTCATCTATGGTAGATAATGCCTAAAATTCATTAGGAGGTTAAATCTGAAATCATTTGATCTCCATTTTTTCGCTATCTCTGTTTTATTTTACGTGGGACGTCTCTTACAAATATTCTGATATAGAATAAAATTAGATTAAACAACGTCTTTACAAATAGATATTTCCTGTTTATTTAAATGCCATTTTGATTTCTTTCTTTTTGATTAAATGCGTATCAAAAAGTAGCTAGTTTATTTGAAAGTAAAGTAGCGATAGAGCTACTTGACCTAACATTTTTCTTCTATCATTACCAAAAACAAAGCTTTTAATAATTTGAGAAAGTTTTAATATGAAGCAAAAATTCGTAAAAATGATTTGTAAAATAAAAGTATATATTCCATTATCTCTTAATAGATTATGGAAATCAATGAAAGATATCCATACACATCTTTGAATTATTCGGTATATAAAATATTATGAAGTAGAGATAATTTTTTGCAAAGATGCATATGTCATCTTGTTTGTTTCAATGCTTTGTCATCGAGTGCAATATCTTCTGTTGAAAGATAGATGATAAGAAGAGAAGTTTTTCTCTTTTTTTTGTGCGTGTAAAGAATAAGTGACAAGCAGTATATTTCTTCTCAAAGAATTTATTTTATGATAAGGTGAACGAGGAATACAATGTAATAGAGAAATATATTGAATACAATTTTCTTTTTCTAGTTTACTATAAAATAATGGTTTTAATAAATGATGATGATGTTGTTAAAGAAGGGCGTGGGTTGTGGCTTTGGATAGAGATAATGCCTACACGCACCTACATCTACACTCATGCCAAATATTTGAAATATCATTATTTAACACTGTAATGTAAAAAAATCTGGTATATTACAAATAGATAGTTTCAAACGAGTCGATTTCCGATATCGCAACATTTGTAGATACTCAAGTCTCAGAGAAAGAATATTAGACTAAAGTAGGTATGTTGAATTTTATATGGAAACATGGCGTATGAAATATGCATCATGAATAAGTAATCAATAATTTCTGTCTTCAATATGTGCTAATGAAACGTACGGTCTTTTAGATCCTATCATAATAAAAATCATTAGTTTATTACTAGCGAGCTCCAGTGCATACTGCATGACTGCTTTTTTTCTCTGAAGTTTCACATCTATACTTTAGTCTCGATCTAGTAATAGACAATCAGACATTTCACTTTATATAAGTAGATAGACCTTATAGCCTTATACCTTTGTAGAGTTACTGCCTTTTAGTCTTATACTCTTGTAGTTGTAATCCCTCATACTCTTATTCTCTTGCACTCTTATCCATCATACTTATGTAGCCTAATCTCCTTATACCTTCACAACCCTATCCCCTTAGGGTGTGGGTGTGGGTATGTTCAGAAAAAGTTATATTCACAACCGCCCCCACACCCTGTCCCATTATTCCCTATATCCTTATTTGCTTATCTCCATATCCCATCAAAGTCTTACAACATTTAACCTTTGAGCCTTATATCTCTTGTAGCGTTATCTCCTTATTGCCCTACCGCTTATTACCTACCGTCTTGCTGTCTTACACCCTTGAGGACCTATGGACATTTCCTTATAATAGCTCATAAGGCCCTATGGGTACCCCAATATGTTAGCACTTGGCGCCTTCCCCTTATAGCCTTATTTGACTTTTGATCTTGGACAGAGATACAGACACTGAACAATATATATACATATATAGATTTTAATGTTCACTTTACAATGAAATCATACATGGTACATCTGACTAAGCTTCGCAAAACAAGACAATTAGATAATAATCAAAGATAGTACAAGTGTTATGATTATACGGATAACATTCGTTGATATTTTGGAATAGTAGTAGGTTCTACTGAATACATTCTACTGAACAATTTTCGTGATATCTGTCGGATATTCTTTGTCTCTCTTAATTGAATTGCTAGCTGTCGCTCAATTTTCGTCGACAATTGATCAAACATATCGAGCCAATGACGATCTTGTTTAGTTAATTTTTGCCGATAAAGTAGAACAGCTGCATATAATTGTTCCATTTCTTCTGTAAATGTATCACATAAAGCCAACGTTCGATAGATATTTAAGGTGTTATGCAAATATTGAAAGTTCGTTCCATTGATACCATAAGATAGACCAATGATTTCTGCTTGTTGTTCAATTGAAAGAACAGTATTTATATAGAATTGGCTAGAACAATTAACAACACAAGTTAGTGCCCATTCTACAGTATGTCCATTGGGCATTAGTACAGGTAGAAAATCATATGTGTAAATGTCCATGATACCATTGACATCAGTCGGAGTTTCACGTTTGATGAAAGCTTCAATAAATGATACGATTTCATCAGCATCAGACATCAATAAATAGCCTTTAACAAATGCATTTTTACATGGCTTCAAGCCCATTGTTATACCCGTAGAATCTCTTGTACCGCGATAGATAAAGTCCTGACAGAAAAATCCTTTAGTATAACCAGTCAATGTACAATCTGGAATGATCTCTTTGACACAGTCAAACGGATTCCAAATTAATGATCCATAAGCAAAAACAGCAATTGCACATCTCATTTGTACATACTCAATGATATTAGCCCGCTTGATCGGATCATTATTTAATCCATTCAATAATTTTAATACTCCGTCTAAAATATTTCCGTGTTCCATTGCAATTTATGTTACAAATAATTCATAAACACCATATGACCTCTCTTTTTTATTACAAAAAAGTTCTATTCTATTAATACAAATTTAGATTTTTCTCATGATAACATGGGAACAAATATAATAGTCATGTGGGTCAGTATGTAGCACATTATTTGTCACGAGTAGGTTGTAAATGACGAATAATGTTGATAGCCTCGTAAGCAACTATTATCAAACGACTATTTGCATAGAATGAAGCTCGATATGCGATATCCAATGGAAATGCTTGAAAGAAACACATTCTTTCACAAGTAGTTACCTGAATAGATGAAGCACACTGCAGACTTTTGAATAAAGGATCTGTGTCCTAAGTTTTGATCCCGTCAAATAATACTCATTTGTCATAGGTTTTTTCGGCAGAATAGGCTAATATGCACAGCATATATACAAGATATCTAAATCTACTCTACACTAGAATTTTAGCTTTCTACCTCTTCTAGTCACAGAGATATGAGTAAATTAAAATTCACAGGAAAATTTTGAAATAATTAACGGATAGATCAGTATAATTGGCTGGGTTTTATATTTTATTTTTTTCATCATCTAATACGTTATAATAAAGAAGAAAATATACCATAAGATACGACGTGAAAAGCTCTCCAATCTGCATATTGAAGCTTATTTTAATTGTGCACTTTTCTTTGCAAAACAGGCAAAATTCGGTGAGAACAATTTTCGATGCTGTGAAAAGTGATTGCACACTTTTTTAGAACAAAAAGTACATAATTAAAATAAGCTTTACTATGCAGGTTATAGAGTTTTTCAGGCTGCATCTTGTGGTATAGTTTTTTCTTCAATATGACATATTATATGATGAGAAAATAAAATGCAAAATTTGGCCATTTATTCTGGCTCACCCGCTATTTCACAAAATTCCTATGAATTTTAATTTACTCATATCTCTGTGACTAGAAGAGGTAGAAAGCTGAAATTCTAGCGTAGAGTAGATTTAGACGTCTAGTATATATGCTGTGCATATTAGCCTATTCTGTCGAAAAAACATATAACAAATGAGTATTTCAGCGAAACGGTCAGAAAATGTTCGTTTTGTTTTTTAAATTCTTTTGACTTTAAAAAATAACGTCTATCATCAAGTCGTTGTGAGAGGGTGGGTGTGGAGTGTGGGTGTGGGTGTGGGGTGGGGTGTGGGTTTGGGTGTGGGTGCTGCGTTGGCTGTGGGTGGGTGAGGATGAAGAGAAGTCTTGTGTCGTTATCTACACCCACACTCACACCCACACCTCACACCCACCCACACCAACACCCACACCCACACCCACACCCACACCCACACCCACCCACACCCATACCCATACCCACATCCACATCCACCCATACCCATACCCGCACCCATATCCATAGCCACACCCACACCCACACCCACACCCACACCCACACCTCACCCTCACCCTTATCTTATCATTTATCATCAGAATTTTCGTCGTCATTCACATTGCTCGATATGACTCTCCAATTCGTCAAAAGTCAACGTGGATCTGACAAGCTTGTTCACGATGGATGGCTTCATACGGAGTATCGCTGATCTGATGAAGGAAAAAACTTCTATCGTTGCGATTGCCACAAGAAGACATCAGGATCATGCAAGCGAAGAGTTGTTGTCCAGAACGGAACTATCAAAGAGGTATGTTTCATAAATCCAATATTAATAACCAACTGTGTCTTATATAGGTGTTCGATGTTCACAATCATGCCGGCGATCTCACACTGCTTAAATAAATGACAATTATCAATTATCGAACGATTTTTTATGATCAACTGTTCAAGATCAGTTGTCCCTTATGATCAGTTGTCTATGATTAGTTGTCGTCATGATCAGTTTTTCCATGATCAGATGATCATGATCAGTTGTCCGTGATAAGTTATCCCGTGCAGAGACCGAAAACGAGTCGAGTACTCGACAAATCGACTCGACTCGACTCGGTTCACGCCGAGCCGAGTCGAGCCCGAGTGCGAAGTTTGAGAAATGTGTCGAGTCGAGTCGAGTCTAGTCAGATCTACTGTCGAGTCGAGTCGAGTCGAATTTGACCCCAACAATTCGACTTTTTAAAAATTTCTTCATAATTCTATCATTTGTTTCTCAATATTAGTCATCCTCATCGTTAGACGAACCGAGATGAGACAATGTCAATTCATTTCAATGAATAGGTTGAACAAAGCATTAAAATGAATAGACAGCGATGAACTGACGACGCTAAATAAACTACAATGTATGATATACACTAGCTTTCATTGTATTCAATGCATTATTGACTGTTCAAAGATTAATTAGAATGCAATGACTTGAGTGATCGTCAGCCTATGTAAGTGATCGGCATGCGACGTGCAACAGATTTAGTAGTGTATTGCATTATTTCATTATCTATCGCAAAAAGATGATCAAAACAGAATGGATGTTTATATGATCAAATATTTGATCATATTTAGAATATTGAAATCGATGAAATATGTTAACCATTCCATCCAATAGGACCGTTTCGAATAGTCTTGGAACATTTATGAGGAGAAGAAATCGGCCTGCAGTATTGCCGAAATCGCGCAAGAAAATGATTCAGAATTATTCGAGACAATAATTCCAAGCTCTGAAACCGAGTAGAAAACTTGTAGAAAATTTCTGTTTCTGACAGAGAACCTCCGAAAATCGATAGAAAATCGAAGCAGTACATCAAGTGGAGAGAGCGAAGGACTTTTTCGATGACTTCCGACCATCTTTGAGCGATAAAGACAGGATTTTAATGGGAAGACACAGAAAAAAAATCTGAGATCTCCAAGTCTCAAATACTGCTTTCAAGAAATTATCGCAATTTCCTGAAGCTGACGGTTTCCTTTTCGTGTGGTCCGACATGGATGTTTCAACACTATGATACAAGTGAAATGTGTGTCTAAATTTCTTCTCATTCTTGATATTAAGAATGTACTTCTAAACATTCGATTTTGAATCGATACTCGGCGGCTCGACTCGACTCGGCTCGACTCGAGTCGAGTCGAGTCGAGTTAGATGTTTTTTAGATGCATGTCGAGTCGAGCCGAGTCGATTGAATGGTTCAGTCGAGTCGAGTCAAGTCGAGTTGAATTTTTTTGACTCGTTTCGGTCTCTGATCCCGTGATCAGTTGTCCTAGACCCTTCTCTATCCTATCTTCAGATATGAGTAATAAATGAAAAACAATGGTTTGAATACATTGTAGCTGTGTGATATATTCATTTTCGTTCAACAATAAAAATCATAACGTAAATTGATGAATGTAAATACATCATGCATCAATTATCTTAGACAAAGTTTCGCACAATGTCTAACAAACTATATTTTCACTTTCACCATAGTTCATAGATGATCATTGTAAATTTTTTTGGGCAAGCATTTTATAATAAGCACCACGTCGTTGTGTCAGTTCTGTATGAGTACCACTTTCCACTATACATCCTCTATCAAGTACACAAATCAAATCACATGAACGAATAGTTGAAAGACGGTGTGCAATAATAATTGATGTTCTACTAGGATCTTCTATTTGAGCTTGTTCAAGAGCTTCTTGTACAATCTAGCATTGACAAATGATGATGACACTGTAATTGGTAAGTAGAAAAAAAAAGTGAACATACTTGTTCATTGTGTGAATCCATGGCACTTGTCGCTTCATCTAAGAGTAATACTTTAGGTCGGCGAACAAGTACTCGAGCAATAGCAATACGTTGCTTCTCACCACCCGATAGTAAACTACCTTTCAACCCTCCTTTTGTTTCATAACCCTTAAAAAAAATCATACAATAATAATAGATACACCATATAATTTTGTATTATTCAACCTGAGGCAATCGTTCAATAACTTGATGAATATTAGCTCTACGTGCTGCATTGATAATGTCTTCCATTGGTACATTTTCTAAGCCATATGCTATATTTTCAGCTATTGTTAAATCGAACAAAATTGGTTCTTGATTGACAAGACCAAATTGAGAACGAACCCACTGAAGATTTAGTTGTTGGATATTAATGCCATCAAGAAGCTAGATTGAGTGGACAAGTTTTATACAATTACTTAAACTATATGTTGAAAAAATACTAACTATTCGACCACTTGTAACATCATAGAATCGTTCTAACAGTTGAATAGTTGTTGATTTTCCGCATCCAGATGTACCTTTATAAATAATATTACATAATTATCATTTAAAAGAAACGTTTAATTCAACCATACCAACAAGAGCTATACGTTGACCTTATCAGTGAATAAAAACTAGTAACAAAAGGATTAAGTCGAAATTTATCTTCCGTACCTGGTTTGATATTCAATTGAAATTTATTAAGAATAACAGCTCTTGGCCTAGTTGGATAGATAAATTCGATTTGATCAAACTTAATCTCTCCACGAAAATCAACCTACAAAAACCATAGTGTATATATGGTATGTACAAAACTGAAAGGAAAGAGTTATCTACTGTGTTTTCTTACCAATTCTTGTCCTTCGGTAGATGTATTGTCGACAGTTGGATTTCGATCAAATAAATCAAAAAATGTTTTAGCAGCTGAGACTGATGAAGCGATACGCGTCGATCTAAAGTGAAGGCAGTAGAGAAAAAATCAAAGTAGAAATTGAGAGTGTTACGCTAATCCAATGAGTCTTAGTGCTTGTAACGAAAAGAAAGCAAAGGCGAATACCCTAATAAAGTGAAAATGTAATAAAGCGCCAACTCTAGATTATCAAACTTGTGTTTCATTTACATTATTATCAGATTCGAGGTAAGTTCTTTCTTTTCAACAAGAACGAGAGCACGCCAATACAAAAATGCTATAGTGTATGAATCTAGTATCCAAAATAAACCGTATGCAATGAAATGTATTATCATAGGTTTCCAAGACGATCTACGACAAAACAAGATCGATTAAAAATTCATACATGTATAAAATTCGATTGACTAACAAAAATACTTGATCAATAAGTTCAGAATATTGTCGTAACACTTCTTTTTCTATTGACAACTGTTTGATTATACGCATATTGTGAATAGCTTCAGCAGTCAGCTACAAAAACAAAATTCAGATTGCATATAGTGTATTTAATTCATGAAAAAATTCATGATAAATCGTCTTTTCCGAGAAAAAACTATTATATTGTAAAATCTCAACTTACCGAGCTTGCGCATCCAATAATTTGACCAGCTTTCTGATTCAGCCGTATATTTAAGGACAAATCTGTATAGATGATTGAAAATAGAATAAATAGAGGACAGAAAGCAATCAATGTTAATTGCCAACTGATGAAACATCCAAATAAAGTTCCAAAAAACCATAGCGCGATAGCTTCACAGATGAATCCTAATCGTGTACCAGCCATATCTTGGATGGATGATGCGCCAGAAGAAAGACGAACACAAATCGCACCAGAACTGTTTTCAGGTCGATCGAAATAGGCAACTTCTTGGCGAAGGAGACATGCGAACGCTTTCGAACGAATGCGTTGCGTCAATTTCGATCCTGATATGGCAAAAGCTGCATACTAAAACAAAGAGTGAATGAGTCACTGATGAAAGTCAGAAGTAACATTGTCACTTGAACGAAGCGAAGGAGTAACAAAACAACACCCAAAAGTAGAACAAGAGCACTGGTAATCAACACTTGATGATGTCGTGCAGATGTTGAACAATATTTGAATGCCTACACAAGCAACAAATCGAAATTAGACGACGTCGATCGTCATTTGTTTTTCATCCTGTTGATGATATGGGTGGATTACTCACGTTGACTATTTTGGCAAGTAAAAATGCGAACAATGGTTGAGCTCCACCAATAAGCGCACATGCTATACATCCAATCAAGATGGTTATCCACTCAGAACTATTCATTGACAAGAGTCTTAAAAAGATAAATCTTCTTGTGAATGACCTCGAATTTTGCTAAAAGAAAGATTATCAATAATGGTTTTTACAAAGTATTATAGTAGTATTTGTACCTTGTCCACATCAATAATTCCACTATCACTATGTAAAGAAGAGCGTTCAACTGTTACAGAAAAAGACAAAAACATGTAAAGATTATTACTATTAGAATATTAGCATACATATCGGCTTTTCATCTTCTTCCATTGCTTTTTGTATGCTCATCATATCATCTTGCTCATCATCGATTTTTTCTATTTGTTGAAGTTTGACCATTGCTTGATATTTTCCTCCCTCTTTTGCCATTAACGTTTCATGAGTACCTTGCTCAATCACAGTACCATTGTCTAATACATATATTTGATGAGCATTTTGAATTGTAGACAAACGATGAGCAACAACAATAGTCGTATGACCTATATAGAATGATATATCGATATGATAAGCAGAAAAAAAAGATTGTTACCTTTGCATGCTTGATCAAGCGCTTCTTGAACAATTTTTTCACTAACACTATCAAGTGCACTTGTTGCTTCATCCAGTAAAAGGATGGGAGGTTGCTTGACAAGAGCACGAGCTAATGCAATACGTTGCTTTTCACCACCACTCAACTGTATACCACGTTCACCAACAAGTGTTTCATATTTCTAAACAAGAAATGATGATCTATGTGTATATAGACATATATGAATATGTGACACAAACATTTGGTAATTGCATGATGAAATGATGCGCATTTGCTTGTTGTGCTGCTTGTTCAATTTCTGCTCGTGTTGCATTTACTTTACCAAAACGAATATTTTCATAAATACTCATTCCAAACACAATCTTTTAAAAAAGTAAAAACAAATAGAAAAGGAGAAAAGAAAAACGGAAACAAAGCATACTGGTTCTTGACTGACAACTCCAATTTTTTGTCGAAGGTATTTGACATTGTAATCTGTTATTGGTCGACCATTGATCATGATTCCATTCGATGAAGGTTCATAGTAACGAAGCAATAGTGATAAACACGTACTTTTCCCTATGAATAAATCATGAATACAAATGGAAACATTTTACTATCTTTGTTTTGGAAAAGACTTACCACAACCACTTGAACCTACAAGAGCAGTTGTCTGACCAGCACGAGCAATAAGAGAGAGATTATGTAAAATTGATGCTTCCTTTCGAGTTGGATAAGTAAAGTTGACATTGTCGAATTCAATATCACCGTTGATATTATAAATCGATTCTGTATCTTCTGTCCATATATCTGCTTCATTGATGCTTGCTTCATTTCCCTTAATGTTATAAAAAAAGAAACATTGCTAGCGAAATGAGACCTAGATTTACTCAGATGTACCTCATCAATAAGTCGAAACACCGCTGCTGCTGCACCTCGGGATTCTGCCAGGGATTGAAGGAATAGACCAGCAGAATTATAACCATTCAAAAATCGTGCAAAAATAAAGACGACCTGCAATGCGATGGCAATCGATCATTAATTTGCTTATTGACTAATTCTATGAATTACTTACGACAAGAATATCACTAATTTTCGAATTCTGATAATCTTTGTACGACAAGAGAAGAGAACCAAAGATAAAACCAACTGAATAAGCCAGATTAGTTTTTAGAGATACCCATCCCATATAAATCCCGTATATGAAACCTTGGCGTATGCTACTCCAACGAGTTGAATACAATTCTCGTTCGTAGCTAAGTGTTATAAAAAATAACAAAATGCTTTCTGATGTTATATTGGGAAACAAGGTTAACGTGTTTCTCTACCGTTGTTGCTCAAATTTGCTACCATTGAGAGAAAGAACAGTTCGCAGTGAACTAAATACTTCTTGAACGATTTGTGCTGCTTTTGAGTATGTCTTTAACTCATTCATTATTTCATTAGCAATAAACTGAAATTCATAGAGATTAAGTTGATTGAACAATACTTCATACCTTAGAAAAGACAAACGTGCCACTAATGACTAAAAGCATCAAACATAGCATGATCCAAGTCAATTTCCAGTTGACAATGAAACACATTATCAAAGAATCAATAGTGACGAAGAACGTTAGTAACAGCACTAAGAGTTCAAAACCGATGCCTTTCTCGATCTTTGCAATGTTACTATACGGAAATTGAATCAGATTGAGTTATTTAATATAAAATATTACAATGACTCACTCAAACAGTATAGCATGGAGTTGACTAGGCGATTTGATATCCATATAAGAAATGTTCTGAAAATAAAGAGAGAGAAATAGTCAGAGATGGATGAATTCGGCTGACAAGAGACCTTCACCAACTGTTATAATCCATTTGAGCTCATATTTTGCTCATAGGTTGAACTCATAGTGCAGATAACAATACTAAACGGATTCTTTCGATTAGGCCCTTAATCTTGGGTTATGAACACTTAAATGAACATTGTATTTCTGGATATTACGAGCAAAATCATGACAAAGAATTTTAGTCTGTAATCTCGTCCAAAAGTAGAAATTATGATTCTTATAATATTCTGAAAGTTTGAGTCAAAAGGGACACTCTGTTCTCGAGATAATGAGTATGCAAGAAAGATCTTTTCTCACAAAAGATTCAACAAAATCCGTTTCATTTACCATTCAAGGCCTTGAGAAAAATCTATTCGTTTTTTGGCTGAAACTTTCAGAATATTGTCAGGATCATAATTTTCATTTTTGGACTAAGTTTCAGACTGAAATTCGTTGATTTGGTTTTACTCGTAATATCCTACAGTACACTGGAAATTCAGTTCAATGATTATAACTCGAGAACCAAGGCCTAATGCGAAAAATCCTTTTAGTGTTTTTATCTGCCCTATGGGATCTACCTATAAATAAAACATGGATTCAAAAGGAGTGTATTAGTGATTGAAGCTTCTTCGTAAGAGTGTCACTCTCACCCCTTTTACATTTTGCTAATTGAAACTAACTCCAGTTTAAATTTTTAGACAATCCTACTACAATTCTGGCTGCAAAAAGTCATACTCTATCCCATTCAACTTGATAACGTTAAATCCTCATGCGTTTGCTTCTGTAAATGATGTTTTTTATGTTATATTTTTGTATTTTTATTTAACAAATTACTAAGTCATCAGAAATTTTATCGTGATTGATAAAAATTTACCAACTCTGACTCCATTTGGATTGCACCTATCGAATAACCAAGTCTGCTATAATAAGGATCCAATAGTAGACTCTTCTTAAATATCTCTTTTCAACTTCAATGATTTGTCGCCTGTATATACGAGATAGTATTTTAGTGGAAATCATAAAAAGATTCTAGTTTTTATTGAGACTTAGCAGAGCTATCGAATTTTTTGTACGTTTACTGGATGTTCCAAAAGTTCCTTTCTAATAGTTTTTTCGCTTCATTTTACTATTGGCTGGTTTTAATCGATAGTTTTTTTTGGAGCAATAGATAAGCACACAGCAATTCCTTTTCTACAGACAAACTTCAAAAACATTGTTGAAAGCCAAGACCCTTAATTGAGATACAAAAAATTAGCCTGTTTTCCTTTTCCAGAAAAACATTGTGTCACATTTCTTTTTTAATTACTTCGAGTTGTTGAATGATTCGAGTCGTTAAATTGTCTAATACTTGAACTGTCTTTTCAAAAATTTTATTTTTGTATGCCTGCACAAAAACGAAATGAATGGTATCAAATCCAAATCCAAACAATGAAAACACACATAGTCCATGAATTTCTCCGAAAAGAGAGAACAGGCTAAATTATTGTACTTCACTTAAAGATGTTAGCTTTCAAGGATGCTTTTGAAGTTTATCTGTAGAAATAGAAACTGTGTTTTACTCTTTTACCACCAAAAATGTATTTGATGAAGTCCAGTCGATAGTGAAATAAAACAATAAAACTTTTAAGACTGGATTTGGAACATCCAGTGTTTGCCAGAGATCTTCAAAGAGTTTCAAGTTGTCTAAAAATTCCTGCTATTGAAGTTTTTCTTAAAGCTAACACTGTTTGAAAGTTTCATCTACAGCTGTTTGTATGAACAGTTTCACAGTTTCTGAATTTCGTATCGATGAGTCAAGAGCTTTTCAAAACCAGATGTTTTTCGAAGTGCAGTCCATAATAGACGAATGTCTTGAAAAATTCCCATCTCTTAGGTACAAAATTTACGAATTCGGAAACTCTTCATATAAGCAACTGTATGTGAGACTTTCATCTGAAGATATTTTCAAGATAAAATTTAAAACACGATTTCTCAGACAACCTACAGATTGTATAGGGATTCATGACAAATAGATATTTTAAAAATTCCACGGCTCCACCAAGTCTGAATGGAAAATGAAATCTTTTTATGTCTTTTACGAAAATAGTATATAGTATCTATTAACAAAAACTCATTGAAACAAGAAAGCGACAACTGAGAAACTTTTTTTGTAAATCGATGCTGGTTTCACTTCAACTTTCGTAGATAGAAGTGCCTAGTATGTGTTGAACTGGCGCATCTCTGACCAGATTAAGATCGTTTCCATACATGGTAATTTAGAGAATAAATAGCACAATTGACATAACTACAGGAGTTTGTCAATATTGCTTTTTCTTGGCTTTGAGAATTATACTATTCCCACTTCAGGTTTTCATAGCTATTGTTATTTTTACTATTTGAAAAGTAAATGAAAAGCGAAGATGCCTGTCTCCATAACTGTGAAGCTATTATCTACTGAAGTTGAAAACTTTTCGAAAGACAGTGAATGATTGCCCTTGCTCTATATTATTTCAAAACGATTATATTTGTATCAGCTTCTAAGAGCGCATGTAGTATGGGGTTGGCAGCGGGGTTGAGCATATATTTGTACTGTTGCCCTGAATCCTTGTTTTCAGATCTAGAAGTCCCAGAAATATGAGCATTCTTAATCACATATACTTTTTATTTAAATGCTGTAGTGTACTTCGTAGGCTTGTCCAAATAGCTCATTTGTGGATGATGAGTTTCTCATGAAAAAAAAGCATAAAATGTTAGATGTGTTTAGTGACATTAGGAAAAGACTGAGATTAAACGTTGGGAAATGTTCATTTATAAATAAAAGTATATTTTACATACGCGTTGGATAAGTGATTGAAAGAGAGAAATACTCATACGACACATCTGTCTTTTCACACTAATGACCCAAATGATATCTTTAATGGAGGCAGCCAAAAACTCGATAGTACCAATAACTACATGAACAGAGAGAAAAAAACATATCCATGATAATTTATAATCATATTATTACGTTCATTACACTTACTGAATAGCCAGTGAACTAGGTTCATAACTTTTCTTCGAAGTAGAGACATTGATGCAACCATGGTGGATAACGAAGCAACGTCATTATTATGATGTAGTCTAAGATGACAAAATACCAATGATAAATAAAGGAAATACCTAGCAACTAATAATAGTTTCTAGTGAATTACTTATGTGCCAGAGCACTGTTGAATATATTAGGCTCGATGCCGTGATGAAATATATTGTTGTCATCAATAGGAACTGCTAAATTTCGGCATTGATGATCACAATTGTCACCGAAGGATTCAATTGCAAATAATCCTGTGAGTTGGCCCAAAAAAAGTATGCTAGCGGTGATGCAAGCGGCCTGCAGCGATGCCAAACATATAGCAATGAACATTAGAACAATATCGATACGATTTGAAAATCGAAACTACAATAGAATCGAATATATCAATCAGTTGGTATTCTATCGGAATATACTCACTAATCGAAAAACACTAACTGGTTTGTCTTTAACACTATGTTCAGTATTATCATCGTCCAATTTTATATATTCATTATTGATATCTTTTCTACTGAAACATCGACGCCAATCAGAAAGACTACAACAATGGTAAGTTCATTTTATTTTTATCGAACATAGTTATTCATCATATCATACCTATTCGCCAAAAGTTGTTTTTTATTTTCACTATAATCATTATCATTAATAGACAATTTACTGGAATCGTTTAATAGAGGTTGTCTATCATTCATTTGATATTTTTATCAACAAGACTATGAGCGCAAATATCGAAAAGAAGCATGTAGAAATATATGTGTAAAAGATAGCTTGTTCTTTTTTTGTAACTATTCATGCGTTTCTTTCTTTTTTCTTTGCTTATCTGTTTAGAGCAAAAACATGTGCAGTAAGGCAATCATCCTATTATGATTCAAGAGTATTGTAAAAGCCTCGTCCCAATTGATGGCCTATATGTAAAGAAAGCACGACGTCTCTCCTCGTGTTGTGCACACAATTGAATGAAACATGAATAGAAATAAACCAAATAAACATGCTGAGAAATATAAAGACTACCATTTGATTGGTCAATGAAAAAGATGAAATGGTCAGTAAAAACATCATGTAAATCGACAGTATAAATATTAAACGGTCAGTACTAAAATTATCAGTAATAAGTTTTAAAATGTTCAGTTAATGTAATATAAGTAGTAATAAAAATAGAAAAGTTATCAGTAAAAAATAATCTTTACCGATAGGAAAAAAATTTGAATAGATCAAAGAATCAACAAATAAATAAGAAGGAATTTAAACTATTATGAAAAAAAGAAAATGAAAATTGCATTATTGTATTAGTAAAGCAGATTTAGCCTTTGGTGATCTACCTCTTTTTCTTTTCTCGTCGGTCGACTCACTCTCTGTTGTCGGTGTCGGTTTACAATATAAAGTTGGGCAGTTGCATGTTGATGTTTTTCAATGTGAATTATTTTCCATTTCCAGACATCGAATATCAAATTGCTTTTTGAATCGGTTGAACATTGTCATCCTTTTTTTTCTTAAGCCCCCCCCCCCCCTCTCAGAAACTAACTTTGTTATTTTTCATCCGATTTCAACCAAAATTTCAGAGAATGTTAGTCTTGGCCAGAGTAGCTTATGGCTAAAATATCTCCCACAAATCTAAAAAAAATGCACAAGTTCTAGTCAATTCATTACCCCCTACGCGGGCAAGGATTTCACAATAAGAATACGAGCTAAGAAGCCCTGGCAGTTTCCAAGTTGTAGAGTACTCTTAGGGCTAGGATTTAACAGGATCCGATTTTTGAATTTCCCTTTATGTGATTTTTAAAGAACGCTTTTCGAAAAATATTCAAATTCGAGGTGCTAATAGAAATGAACTATCTAAGTTTTTTATTTCAGCAAAAGAGAAATTTAAAAATCGGAGCCTGTTAAGTCCTAGTCCTACATGTCTCCTATATAATAAAAAAAAATTATCACTTCCATGTCGAATCGTTATGGAGAAAAACCTGCCCGCGTAAACTGCATAACAAAAAAACTGATTTTGAGAAAAACGAAAAATACATATTAGAAGTCGATTTTTCCGAAAATCACCTGATTTATATGTCAATATTCAAGATAGGCTATAAATATATGATCTTAATATTAAGTGTTCATAGTCTCTTAGTGATTAGTATTAAAAAAAACTTTACAAAATGCTGATGCAAAGAGAAAGCAGCCTACAAACTCGAACAAGCTTGAAAAAAAGCCGTGAAAATTTCTCAAAAAATATGATAGCAGGAGCGAAGTTTTAGACGATAAGTTCATCAAAATCAATTTATTTTTCGATAAGCCATAGATATTCTGAAAGAGGAGACTTCGGTGCATCTTCCTATGATAAAACTTCAATTTCGACTCATCTTCGAAAAATTGAATTTTCTGAGGGGTGCTCCCCTTAATTTAAATCATATTGGGCAGTTGACTGTAAATCATGAGGTGGTATACAATATTTTTCCGAAGAATCATCATCTGTGATTATTTTATTGGTTGTCTCTAGCCGTTGTTTGTACTTGATGCATATAGATGTATACTTTTGAAGCAACTATCCTTTAGTTTAAATCATTCATTATCAAATGAATCCTTTTCGACTCAAAATGTTTAGTTCCTTGTTTAAAAGGTTCTTTTGATTTTCATTTATTTCAAGATCTTCTTCCGTCCATTCTTCATTTATTATATCACTATCATATTGAGAAACTTGTAACACTTCCATAATTACCAATACAGTGAAATCTCTCTAAAGTAAATACCGTTGGGACTTACGAAAATCGTTCACATTAACAGAGTGATCATATTGGACGGGGTTTATGCAAATATGAAGAAAAGTCAACTTTTTCGCACAAATTCCTTCTGTTCCGAGATTCATATCTTACTACCGTTGATCTGAACTATATTTATTCATTCTCAACCTCAGAAACTGGAAGGAGAAGAATTTTGCAGCTAATTCCTGAAGAACTTTTGCGAATTCTATGAATTCATATTTGCGATTATTAAAAAATGATTTTAATGGTTCCGACGGCGGTTCTGGCTCTCAAAACGAAAGATAGTTTCGCTTTTATAATATGATCCAGCTATTGAACTTTAAAACGTCACTTCCACATAGATTTTCCGTAAGACTTCATTGAGGTGAATAGGATATCGTGCGATTATCCAAACTACAGACGTAACATTTTGGATGTTTTATGATTTTCCACAAGTGTCTATTTCATTTCTGCTTAGAGAACAAGTCAGTGATGAGTCATCACTGATGATCCGTCATATTTAGTGATGGATGTAGACCATTGACGAACAAAAATTAATAGAAGACGTGATTGATCTCTCTCACTGCAATCATTTCTTTCTAACGAATCGTAGAATGAATCAATCAAATACGAAACAATATCTCACCGTTAGGTGGCGCATATATCGCTGTTCATACTCTCTAAAAAAAAGGAGCTTTGCAGAACCCTTCGAAAAGGTTCTGTAGATTTCTAAAAGACTCCAAATGTGCCCAAAGTCTCAAAAAAAGGATAAAAAATTCGACAGAACCTTTTGAAGGTTCTGCAGAGTACCCACTAGCAGAACCATCTCTCGCAGAACCTTTTTTTAGGTTCTGTAGAGCAAAAAAAGGTTCTGTGAAAAAA